AGTGCGGCTTGTACGTGTGGCCCTGCGCCGTGGTCCTCGCTCAGTACCTGTGGTTCCACCGGAGAGCGCTACCCGGCCGAAGAGTGTTGGAGGTAACTCTAACAGTGCCGTGCTTTCTACAGCAACGCAAACGCTCCCCCTCCTTTTTATTTCCCCTCGTATTCGGCCCAGTTTACACCCTGCAGTTTGGGGGAGACAGGTGAACTGCAGGCTCGTGAAAGCTGGCAAGTTGTAGTCAAGCATGTCCTTCAAACGCTTTATGTGCTGGTTCTGTACAGAACAGAGCAGGAGCCCAAGGGATAAAGAAGCCCTCCTCCCACCCACGGCACAGTAAGTTAAAACACTTTAGTATTTACAGGCCAGCACCTTCTCCTGAGTAACTGCTTTCATTTTGGTTCTCCTGTCCCAATCCAACTCTAGGGTGAATTTTCCCTTACTGCCCTGACTTCAGGCAGATTACAATGTTATAAGCAGCTTAAAAGATCACAGTATGCAACATGTCACCGTGTTAGCCCTTTCATCTGCATTAAAGTCTATTCTTTTGTAATTTCAGATTGGAGCAGGTGTCAGCCTACCTGGTTTAGTAGCTGCAAAGTGCGGGGCTGAAGTTATATTATCAGATAGTGAAGAGCTACCTCAGTGCTTGGAGAACTGTCGAAAAAGCTGTTTGATGAATGACCTGCCTGACGTGCCTGTTATAGGCCTCACTTGGGGCCGAGTATCGCCAGAGTTGCTCTCACTTGCTCCTGTAGACATTATTTTAGGGTCTGATGTCTTCTTTGAACCAAAAGGTATACTAATACTCTCACGTAACTCCAATTTGATAAAAATAGCAAGGACTTAAATTTTCAAGAGGTCCAAGTTTAGTAATATTGGGAACTATGTCAAAGATGAGATAGGTGGCAAGACTATACGCATCACTGAACTACTTCTTGGGGGTAATTCTAGTATTAAGCTATCCTATAAATACCACTGGAAAATAAGTGACTAAGAAATAGAGTAGATGCTAAACTGAAAGAGGCAATGGTTCTCAGCTCTACACCAATGAAGGCATGTTTAACCACGTCTAGAATCCAGAGACTAACCAAGACTTTGTTTAATCTTCCCCAACCATGCAGACTTTGAAGATATTTTAACTACAGTTTACTTCTTAATGGAAAAAAATCCACATGCTCAATTCTGGACTACATATCAAGTCCGAAGGTAAAGTCTTTTGCCTATTTAAGACTTAAGTCTTAAATCCTGTTAAATCATTAACACCCGAGTTCATCAGGCTCACAGCTGTATTTACTAACTACAGCATGAGGAAAGCATGACCCAGCTTGAGTAAGTCTAGTTTTGTCACAAGATTACTGCAGCCGTGTCTCAGCTCCTCAGAGGCACCATCACCACACTGATTCCAAAGGACAGATTCTGACCTAGGCTGGTCTTTGCCAATAAATCCTAGGAATATCAGACAAAAGCAGCTAAACTAAAAATATTTAAGAACCACAAACTAACTCTACTGTTGACTGGGAAACCATTACAAACTCAGTTTTCTGGACAACTGCAGTTAAGTTTGCCGACAGTATCTCCTATCATTACTGCAGAAGTTACAAACTTTGATTACATTTTTCACACATCTGACATTTCTTCCCTTCAGTGCCGACTGGTCTATTGAAGCTCTGCTCTGCAAATGGAAACTGAAGAGCATCCATGTTCCACTACACTCATTTAATGCAGACAAAGAGCACTTGGCCAGTTCTTCTTTACCAGGAAGACATACAATTGAAATGATGATCATCTCACTAGCAAGATCAGATGGTACTTAAGTTTATTCCACTTGTTGGTTCCAATACAAGATGATACTTAACTGTTCACTGTAGCATGGATCTGCAGGAAACAGTCTGATTTGCAGCAAACCTCATGCATATTTCTTGGGAAGCAGATACCTTTAGCACTTTTTTTTAAAACATGCATTGTAAAAATAAAGCTGTTCAAGTCTTCAGCTATGGCTTTTGAGAAATTTGTCCTTCCCAAAGACCACTTAAGGACCAGTTCAAGGACTCAATTCCTTTATGGAAGCCACTACACAACATAGCTTTACAATCCACTAGGTCCAACTTACCCTTTTCTCCACAGTTTAGTTGTGGATTTTAACTGCACTCATTCAGGATAACAACATCCCTTCAAGATCTGTTTCCCAGGACTTAAACTCTTTCCTGAAGATTCATATACAAAACCCAACCCCCCCCTTTTTTTTTTTTTTTTTTTAAGGGATCTACATAGACTGCTGCCAGCCATGCAGTCCTGGAACATACAAAACTCCTCAGCTCATAGAAAAGTATTTTTAATCCTCAATCAAGCCAGATTTTAAGTATTCAGGTGTTTCCAGTTCCATTTAACATACATGCATGAAGTTAACAAGGCATTACAATAACCCTTGACATATGATGGTTGAAGTTACAATTCATTTAGTATCCAACTCAAGAAAGCCTCACCACTGTAAGATTAGCTACCCTCAAGCAGCAGCCTGTTGAGTCAGGGCAAGCGCACAGCAAATGCAATTAGTACTGCTCAGTGTGTATTTTCCATAACAAGATCCAACAGACCTGCCTAATTCTGTTTTTAGAGTTTGGTGTGCAATATTTGTCTTACAGTGTTTTGGTTAGTCACAACACTAGTAAGTTTGCCCTTAGTAATTTAAAAGCAACCCCAGTAGATAGTATTTAGAAGCAATAGAATGCATTCAGTTACTATATAGAAGTTAAAACATTGACAGTATAATTGCAGAAATCTTTTCAAGCTAAAAATAAGCTCAGACATTAAGTTGAGAAAAGTTAACACAAAAATGTTTAATATTAAACTACAGAGACAGTGGGTATAGTACAGAATGTCTTAAGCAAAAGATACACCAATCAGTACTTACAAAGGAATGAACCATTTCTTTGTTAACGTTACATTTCTCATATGTAAGTTCGTATATGTATGTTGGTGAGATTTACCATTCTGGAAAAAATAAGGTGTGTATATCATCAGCTAGATGTGCTCACTGTATGCTCCATTATTTTTATGCAAGGCCCGGGTGACTGGAAGTGCAGTTGTCAGGCATTTTAATTAACTGGACAGCCATTTGTTTCTGCACGACAAGGCATCGTTACACTGGAGCAATCAGGAGAAAACAGGAAACAGCCAAGCACTCTGCACTGCAACACGCCACCTTAACAGCTAACCAGCATTACTCAACTGCTACACAACTGCGCCTAGTGCACAAAAATACATAAGAGAAGAGATTAGAATTGAGTCTGATAAAACAATCCTTTCAAAAAAAAAATCAACTGTCACCTGAAAAGATTTCTACCAATTTGGATCTGAAGATACTATTTGAATTCAAAGTAAAAAAGCATTTACAGTAAATTTCAAATTGAAGTTTTGCAGAATTTTATTTAAGGAATGAAGACAAAATTGAGAATACTTTTTGACAGTTAGCTACTCAGCATATAACGGCTGCATGTTTCCTCAGTATGAAACTGGAGGCAGCAAGTTACCATCAGTTTAATTTCAAATAAAAGTCAGCACTATATAAACAAAAATGAAGTTTTACCTCAAATATCCAAGCCAATAATGAAATCGGTAGTCGTTCACTTCACTAAATTACAAGAAATTTGAATAACAGCAACAAAATGGCACATAAAATGTAAAATCTGCCACTTGAGGCGCAACTTAAACAAGTAAAAAGTTAGACAAAATGTTACAAAATAACCTTTTCATCAGCTGGTTGCTTGTGCCAGGGGTCTCTCCAATGGATTGAAGACTCAAGCGATCTTTTCCCCCCAAAGGCGTCCTTTATGTAGATTCTCTATCTGATGCATCTAGGTTTGAAGAAAGAAAAGTTCAGCCACGTTTCTACCACGTCTCTTTGTTGTTGTGTGGATGACTTCAGGTAAACTTCTAGGTGTGTTTCAACTGGCTTTGCCTAATATTGTTAAGTTTTAGGAATTATCATAGCGTGCTCCACCTCCCCCCACATGTTGCTTTAATTCAGAGGCCAAATGTGAGCTTCTGTAAAAGTATTTAGTTACAGCAAAGAATAATAAACATCAGGCTGTAGATCAAACCACCATTAACTTGAATTCAGCCTGTTCAGCGATAAATTGTTTAAGTTATATTATAAAAGTTACATAAAACTAGTACTTCTTGATAAAAGACTTAACTAAACTTCAATTAGCATTCAAAAACAACATGTCACTAATTTTGCTACAGTTATCTAACTTCAGAGCTAACTTAGGCCCTTTCCTTTTAAAAACAGGACCAAACAGTTCGAGGGGTTAAAGACACACTATCCTTTCCCCACCCAGTGTATCCTCAGAAGCCTCTTCAAGATCTTCACTTGAGGAAAAACTAGTTTCCATTGTTTTCTCATTGCAGTGAATTTGCCACTTTTCTAGAACAGTTACCTCCAGTCAGTATAATGGTCACTGAACCGATGTTCCATTATAAAAGGATAGTGTATCTTTAACATTTAAAGACAAACCTGCTCCAACACACGCCCACAGAAACTGGTCCCTGGAGGATCAGCCAAATCAGTTAAAATCTGCAATACTGGCCAATATTCTTTTAGCAAACAGGAGACCGCAGCTTTAAAGGGGAAAATGCAGATGTTGGATAAATACAGTAAGAAATAGTCATTTTCATAATAGGTTGTGTCTCATACAATATTTTATTAAAACCAAGCCATTAATCTCTCAACAAAACATGAAAACGTCCTCTGTAGAAAGCCCTTCGGTATTAACTTCCCTAACCAATAACCAAAAAGCACTGCTCAAAGAAAAAAAGCTAACAACGTGCCCCGTTAGGATTCACTTGGTTCAGGCTATTAATACTCCAAGTACTACCCAACACCCCATTTAAGTGCTATAATAAAGTAACATGCAACATGTGCTGTTCCCAAGGTACATTACCGTTTTCCTAAGAGGATACGGCTCCTTCTTCTTCTGGAGACTTGGGAGGGCTCTTCGATCTGGATCTGGAGTTAGATTCCCTCTTTGAGACAGGTGGAGGGCTTCTAGATCTGGACCGAGATCTCGACCTGGACCGTGATCTGGAGACGGACGAGGACTTTGACTTGGATCTCCTGGCAGACCTAGACTTCGAGGTGGAGCGAGATCGAGAGCGTGTGCGAGACCGGGATTTGGACCGACTGTAGCGGGACCGACTGCGGGATCTGGAGCGGCTCCTGCTTCTAGATCGGCTGCGACGGCGTCTTCTAGGGCTGAAATACAGAAAGGGCGGAAGGAGTGCGTTAAGAGTTGAACACAGGCGGCGCAACAGACTCCCGCGAGGACTTTGGGACAGGGAGGGCGGAACAGGGCCCACGTGGGCGAGAAAACGAGTGTTAGGAAGGCGCCATTGTTGAGAGTGAGTGGCCGGGAGCTAAGTCCACACGGGGGCCAAACCCTCCGGCTCCGGGGGAATTCCACGTGCCTTTACTACTGAAGCTCCCCACCCACAAGATCCTCCGCGTAAAAGAGAATTAAAAAAAACCCAAACCCCGAGCGGCCCCAGCGTGCAGGCGCACGGCTCTGTCCCGGGTCCCCTCCT